GTACATCACACTTCTTTTGTAAGAACATCCGTTGTGTGTGTATTTGTTGTGTTGTGTGTGTGTGTGTGTGTGTGTGTGTGTGTGTATATTTGTGTGTATGTGTGTTTGTATGTATGTGTATGTATATGTTTGTTGAACATCTATTCCTTAGCAAACAAAAATATTGAAATTTCGACGATCTGAACAGCAAATGTGTTGAAAAGCCTATGCTGCTATATGAATCGGAGGTATGATATATATATTTTTTTTTTGTAATGCAGCTGCTTTAAGTGCAAAAGAATAAAAGTACTCTATTTCGCCAACGATGAATAAAGTCAGTTCCCGAGGGAATTGTCGAAAATTTAAAACCATACATCAATTTGAATTGTACATATTTATTTTTTTTTTTTTTTTTTTTTTGTAGTATAAATTCACTATATATTGAAAAAAAGAAGATGTGAAATTTAGGAAATGGAAAAAATTGAGTAGAGGAGAAATTTTGCTTCGATTCAGTCTCAAAATGTTCAATATCATTTCATAATCGTGGTAAAAAAGATCAAGAGCAAATTTCACAGCTAAACTTTTAAAATAGCATTTCTAAATAGTACTGGGGCTATACTTTCTCGAATTTCAATTGAATAATGTCTTAATTCGTTTTAACGAGATTTTTTTACTATTTTATCTGGTCAATATTTTTGGTTGATTTTCCTTCTTTTTGTAGTCAGTGGTACGAAAAACAGCAACGATAATTTCTACATATAGCGGTTACACTGAGTTTTTAATTCATTCAGGAAATTAAAAAGGCAATAATCTGAGTCGCTGAGTCAAAATGAATTCAATATGAAAAGTAATGTATTGAGTGTTGATAAGTTTATTCTAAAAATCGTACAACCCAAAATATCATCGGGTGAAATCTCGCTCCCTCAATCGTTGTAGAAATGTTATATCAAATTTCATCTTCCATATTTTCATACCATTCTTCTAATTGCAACTTTCATTCGTAGTAAATGAAATTAGAAGTTTCAAACTTTCTTTCACCATACATTTGTTTTTTTTTGTGAAAAAAATTCAATTGATTTCAATAAAACTTTTCCAGAGTCAAGCAATGCGTGTCGTACGAACGATCGGACAAGCATTTGAGGTATGCCATAAAGTGGCGCAGGAGCAAATGCAAGAGAAGTATCAAGAGGATTCAGAATGTAGTTCTAATGTAAGGGTTAAAAGTAAGTTTCATTTTTTTCTTTTTTTGTTGGTTGAAAGTTAACAAGCGCAATAATACCAAAGTTTGATCAATAAGAAAATTTGCATTTGTCTTTGAGTAAAATTGACTTTTGATGAAGGATTTCTTCCTTTTTATTTTCACTTAAGAATTTGTTTTTAATTGGCTTGCATTGTTAAATAAGTTAAATTACTTTACTACATGCAGCATTAATAAGTTAAATTTTATTTTATATCATTTTTTCTATCATTTATCCATTTGCTAAATTTATCACCGCCAAAAGTGCCGCATTTTGTTTTGATTTTAACGATGACAATTGACATTTTTTATAACTTGAAATTGAGTGTTAAACTTCAGTATCACTGGGTCATTACATCAGAAACGAATATTTTGCGAAAACTTTCTTGACATTCAAGAAAAGTCACTACGTTAGAAATGCGGTTATAAATAAATTAGTTTAATTGAAGAACAGATAGGAAATTTTCAAAAATTATGTTTACCAATTAGTCATCATAGGAGTCCATTAGTTTAATAAATTGAATAAATTGTTACCATAATTCTTTACCATGGGTAGTATTATAAAAGAGACAAATTCTTCTCAAAAATTCTTATTCAATCGTCATTTGAATTAATTGGCTCAATAAACTAAATGAATTAATAGCATGATTTTTATCTAGATATTGGAAGCGATAATTAACATTCTTCCTCTTTGTGTTTTTTTTCTAACTTTCCGCAAATTTTCACTACAAATTAGTTTGTATAATCATAATTTCATTTATAATCATTCCTGCAGTAAAGTTTCGGGTCAAATCGAGTATTCAGTGCACATAATTCATCCATCATTTATATTTCAATTACTTAAAAGGTATCAGTGGGACACATTAGACTTTTTCTTATATTATATATTGAAATTTCCGCCTATCCGTCAACTTTATTGCACCCATATGTTCTCAGCGCAATTTCCATATTTTTTCTCAAGTAATTATCAGTTATCAAGTCCCATGGCATTCCTTTCCTTTTTTTCTTCAGATATTTTAATTACAATATAATTGTCTGTCGCGGGGATCTAGTGAAGGCATGGTTGTAACATTTAAATTAATTGGAGTTGTAACAGCGATATTTGAAGAATAATTTCAGTTGAATATGTTTATATTAGGTATCCCTTTTTGTTGGTTATCTTGCTGGCTTGAAGTAACTAATTATTTGTTGACTATTATGTTCGGCAAAAGTTCAAGAAAGGAGGAATTCCAGCTTTTTTTGAAAGGGAATATATCAGTCTTTGAACACAACAATTAGTTTACAAACAGTCGAATCATTGAATTCTTACTATTCACGGGAAAATAAAGAGTGGTTAAGTTATCAAAGATTACGGAAGGAGTTTTTTCTTAGTTCATTGTGCCTTAACGATGAAATTATCTGAGAAGAGATTTTGACGAATGTTTCCGCAGACAGTTGGTGCCAGTCTATCTTCAGGTAACGAGATTTCTTAACGGTGATTAAAAGGATTTCTTTTGCAAAATTATGCTATTATAAAGGGAAGTTTATTCTTTTTTTTTGATTTGTGTAAAACAAAAGATCACAATGAACATCTCCTGGAATGGTAGTACATATTGTTCAGCTTTGAAAAACTCCTATGTTTGATTTTTTCCTACTAATTTCTTTCTAATTTACACAAAACGTCTTGCGAATTGATCGAAATACTATTTGCTTGCTTTCAACTTACGCCAGTCGGGGCAGGACAATTCCCGTAAGTTGAAAATAATAATCAGTTTCATATGCGACATATGCGCATTCTTCTTGATTTTTTACAGGCGCTCATTTACTTTTAACGAAATAACTACCCTTCTTGTTAATCTGATATGTTTAATATGTCGGAAGAGGGAGGTAAATGATACACATCAAAAATGCCTTATCAAATTTCAACTTAATGTTGCCTTAGCTCTGCTCAAAGAAAATTTCATCTGTCAGTTTCAAGGATCAGTTTG